TTCGTCACCATGGAAGTGATTATGTAGCATTCGTCACCATGGAAGTGATTATGTAGCATTATTGGATTTATTATATGAAGAAGTTTATTTGTTATAAATTTTATTTGTAGTGAATTATCAAAAATATGCAATATTTGAATCAAACGATAAGAAGCATTTTTGAGTAGACTGTACTTTGTTAATTTCAACAAACATTCCAAGATGATCATCAGAACGTAATCTCAGCGTTTTTCAGTTTTCAAAAATTTCCATTTTTACAAAATTTCTAAAGTTTTTTGCAGATCCACCCGAACAATTGCTGGATGAAATTGGAAATTATAGCGCCTCAAATGTTTCAGCGACTTCACCTTGTGCACCGAAAGAATATGAGACAACTTTCAATAACTTTACAAATCCAACGCAGCAACCAACACGACAGTCATCCACTATATCGCCGCAAATTCTTCTTGCTAATTCTTCTGCACCAACATATTCGCAGGTACTGTCCTACCAGATAAGAATCGACGAGCGTTAATAAAAGTAGACGTCGAATTGTTATTATTTGTGAATTTCATTGGTTTCACCTCAAAATAGCTCAGTCAGAATGTGAAGAAAAGAAGGACAAGAATATAGATGTTATTATTTTCTTATTTAGTTTCAAATTTAATGTTTATGTTTTATAGGCAGCATATGAGCATACACCTTTGATTGCTACAGTGCCTTATGCGACTGATTCATCCAGTTTGGATTATGTACCGCAGTTCCTCACAACCACTATGCAATTCCCTTCATCAGTTCTACCGAATAGGACATGGTGGATGAGCTTCCCATCCACTCCTACTCCATCCCTGCTGAACAGTCCTTCAACCCCATCTGTTGTGCATAATTTAACTACCTCGAGTACCGCCGAGGTATCATCTTTATCGGTCAACAGTCCGGCCACCGTTTCTTCATTACCGACTGTTGAAACCCATCTCATCAATACTTCAAGTAAAGATTCTTCTAAGGTTTTTCCTACTTCAACTCACAGTTTGAAACTTCAAACCGAAAAATGGAATGTTGCCGGGCCAAGCTCTTTATCTTCGCATGGAATTGTTACCGACTCGACGGAACACGGAGTTTGGAAGGTTAGTTTTTTTTAGAAATATTCCATTTTTTCATTGTGGGATTTGGACACAAAATAAACTTCTCCAGGAAAAATTTATAGCTTTCCTTTTCTCCTTCCAACTTTCTAATTTTGCAGATTTTTGCCATGATTTTAAATTCTTATTTTTTCGAAAAATGAACACCAAAAATTAGCTGCTAATTGAGTAAAGTTGAGGAATTTATATTTCCCAACTTAAATAATGTAATTGATTTTCAGCAATTATCACCGACTACAAATACGGCTGGCTTAAATTCAGTTCTGGTACCACAACCCGTTTATCCTCAAGAAAACAATCAAATAATGCCAAAGGTGACTGCAGCACCATCAGGCGAACGAAGTACTCTTCTTCCAGCAAATGCAACACCAATTAAACAGGAGAATGAGAAGGATGAGCGGATCTATCGTTTTCAGAAGTATGATATACCTTTTTACTGATTAACAACTACTAATTAAAATTAAATTAGTGGTGGAGTCCCAGGCTTTAGCGTAGTGCTTTCCTGAGGCTTTTATTTTGAAAGAATTGATCTGTAAGGAAAAATAAGTTATTAGCGAGCGAGCATAAAAAATGGGAACCATATGAGATACTAAAAAGTTTAGAATTCAGTTGATGACTCCAAAATTAAATTATTCCAAAACAGAGGATATTATGACTGTTAAGTTCAGGGTCTATAACTTAGACAGAGAAGAAAAACTATATTCGTGTAGGAAAATATTTGTTTGTGCATGTACATGTATGTTTGCATAAGGAATTAGGCAAGAATATCAACTTATGTACGTAAGTAATGCAACAAATTGAACGAATATAGTATGAAAGGGAGTAGCTGAAACTGATATCACTGAAAAATGAGCTATTACTTCACAATAGAACATTTAAGTTTCAATTTTGTTTAGAAAGTCTTTTAAACTTTCAAATAAATGCATACTAAAAGTTCTTTGTTAAGGCGTGGCTGTAGGAGCGTGGCAGCAGATAGTACGATAGAACCGGTGGAAAGGAAACGTATTCTGCATTTAAATGCTGAACAAAATAGGTTGAATTTTTATTTCATAAGCGTGTAATAAAAGATAAGCGCTTGAATTAAAGTAATTTCATAATGGCAATTGTTGATCGTAAATTTTCCAATATTTGAATGATTTCCCTATTTTAGTTGGGAATTAGTTCATACGCTGTCCTCGTAACTGTTACATTAAAATCGCTGAAATTTAAAATTCGCTTCGATAGTATCAACTGTAAATTGTTTATTAAGAGTTTATGCTTATTATTTTGAATTGCCATTTCCAAAAATGCGAACTATATAAGACTTATCCGATTTTAGACGTTGTGCACTGAAAGATGGGTTTGAACAATTGTTAAATTCTTTACCAAATTTATATGGCTGTGGTACAAAACCAACAAATGCCGTTGTTTTAACACGTGCAGCAGTACGTATACGACAGCTGAAGGCGGAAATTACTCTTGATGAAGGAAAAGCAAACCAATTGAAACAAAACATACAACGATTGAATGACAAAATTGCGTTAGTTCTTTTTTTGTTCTTTTTTTTCCTACTTGTTAAAAAAAATTAAAATTAAAATTTTATGTGGAAGATAACTTATAGCAGATGTTTTATTTTTCAATTTAATTCAAAATTGCTAATAGGTTATGTTCGTATAATTATTAATTGATTTCGTTTTTATTCATGTTAAGGTATACTTAATGATTGTTCGAAATAACTTCATTGTATGTCTTTTCATTTATTTAGTTGTACATATATGAATCCGTAAAGCCACAACAAACAATTATGAAATTATGACACTTGAAATTTTGAGGTATTAAAAATGTGAATCAGTTCAAGAAGAGGTGGAAAAAGTAGCTTAAAATTAACTTTTATTTTTACAGATCACTCCAAGCTTCTTTACCATCATCATCACGAACTGCTACAAGTACGATCAGTCAGAAAGCTGAGATGGAACAATTTTAGAACGATATACAAAGGAAAGGGCACGTCAGGATTACCGTTTTGGG